GGAATTTTGGTGTTATCATTCTGGGATGGTGGTGTTATCATTTGGGAATTTTGGTGTTATCATTCTGGGATGGTGGTGTTTTCACTGTGGCTCTTCCAGGGTCTCCAGAAGGATCAGCCCAGGCTTGGAGAGGCAGCACAAAGAGCCAGGGAATCCCAGGATGGGTTTGGGTTGGGAGGGACCCCAAATCCCACCCAGTGCCACCCCTGCCATGGCAGGGACACCTCCCACTGTCCCAGGTGCTCCAAGCCCTGTCCAACCTGGCCTTGGACATTCCAGGGATCCAGGGGCACCCACAGCTGCCCTGGTGGTGCCTCACCACCTTCACATTTTGCCACCCTTCCAGGGCAGGAAATGCGAGGGCTAAATTTGGGATGGGACAGCCAATTTCAGGGATTCATCCCCACCTCTTCCCAGGATCTCCTGCTGGGGAGCCAGTGCTGAGCTGGAGGGGCAGAAATCTGTGGGAGGTTTTGAGCATCTGCTCCCAATGAGAGCCCCAGGCTCTGATTTCCTCACGCAAACCTCAGCTGGTTCAAATCCTTGAGGTCTCCTGAGCCTTGGAGCACCACTGGAAACCTGCAATTTGTGGGGAAGAGGTTTTTATTTTCCTTTTCTTTCAACTTGGGCATCTTTTCCCTGAGTAACGAGAAAGGGGCGGGATGTGGGTGCAGGGAAGGGGCTCATTAGGAGAAGACGTTTTGGGCGCGCACATTTCGGAGGAGAATGGGATTTCTGTTCACTCCTGGCTTTAATTTTGGCTTCCCAGGAGTTACGAGGTGCTGGGACAATAAAACAACTGCCCACAGTTGTCTCAGAGTCTGGAGGTTGGGAGGAGAACAGGGAATGTTTCCGATGATCCTTGAGGATGCAAGGAAGGATAATGGGGTGCAGGATTATACGGGAGTTACATCAGGAAAACCTGGGGGGCTGTGGTTACCTGGCACAGCACCACTTCCCAAATTCCATATCCCAGATCCACCTGGCCACCTCCTGACTGCATTTTAGGACGAGGTTCAGGTGTGCACCACCCCCACCCGATTCCAGACTGAGATTTTTTATGGAAAAAAGTTGGTGGCTGTCTCGAAGGGTGGGGCTCAGAACAGGCAGGGCACACAGAACTGAGTTTATGAAGGATTGCAGATTTTTGGGATTCAATGCTCCGGGGCAGGGCTCTCTCCAGCCTTTTTCCTTCCCAAATGGGATATGGGGAAGGAGCTGCTTCCAAACCTCCTGTCCAGCTGCTCCATAGCTCAGAAACTGCTGGTGCTGACAGATGATAATGATGGGAAGTGTAAATATAGAAATATTCCAAAGTGGGAATCCATCTCTCAGGAAAAGCCTAGTCCTGGACAGCTGGAAAAATTTTGGGGAAATCAACAAACTAAGAGATATTTGATGGGGCTTGGAGCAACCTGGGGCAGTGGAAGTTGTCCCTGCCCTTGGCAGGGGGTGGAATGAGATGGGATTTAAGGTCCCTCATCACCCAGATGGTTCTGGGATTCTATTTTGGGGATTTGGCATTTCTTATCTCAGCTGCTGAGGGACGGAGAGGGCTTTGGATGGCACCTCTTTTCTAAAGCAAATGAACAAAACCCCAACTAAATTAAATTAGAAAAGAGAAATAAACTCATCTTCCTCCAAACCTTCAGGCTGTGTAAAAGTTCCCTCTCAAATAATAACATTAAACTGCAAAGAGCAGACTTAAAAGGAGCCATTTCCCAGAGGGAATTTGGGAGGAGAGGGAAGCAGCAGGAAAATAATGCCATGTGTTTAACAAGCAAAACCAAAGGAAAAAGCTGGGACAGGCGGGGATTGCTCTGGTTAGCCCTCCCAAGTTCTGCCAGGGAATAATCATTTTATCGGAGCGACCACAGGGCTGGAGGCACACCTGTCACAACAGCCAGCATCCCTGCGCTTCCAGGAGCCTGAGGCTGCCCGTGGAAATTCCTCTGGAATGAGAACACTCGATCCCTCCCGGAGGTGGCTGGGATTGCTTTGTTTGGATTGGGATGATAATGTCCACACAGACACCCGCTCAGGCGGATTGTTTGGATAATTTTTGGGCACTGGAAAGGGCAAACCAATCCAGGAGCCACTGGAGACAGTGGAAAAATTCCAGTTCCCTGCAGCGGGCACTGGATCCTGCCCACACCGCAGCAATGAGTGACAGGGAATCAGGAATAAATAATTATTCCACCAAAAAGACAGATTACCCCCCCAAAAAAAACTGGAATATTCTGGCAATAATCAGCATTGAATTTGTCCTGCCTGGAAAACTCCAAGGTGGAAACAGGGAGCAAAAATCACCCTACAACATCTTATTTCTGGGAAAAGCAGGACAAAGAGCAATTCTTTGATGTCATCTCCATGGACTTCTGTCCAGTATTTTCAACCCACATCCTCACTGGCACAAACTCCATCAAAGTCCTCAACTCCCTTCTTCCAAGGGAGACCCTGCTGACGGAAAGGAACTCGCTCCATGCCAGCACCCACCCAAAAATAAATAAATATTTACAGTACGGGCAACAATAAATCCCCTGGGAGACTCCCAGCTCCCTGCAGCTGTTTTTTGAAGGAAGTTTAGGTACCATGACCAATAGCCAGGAAATCCAAGCTGATTCCATTGGCCTTTTTCCTTCACACCACATTAATTCCCACACGCACGGCTGGGCTGCCCTGGATTTCAGCAAGCTGGGGATTGCAGGGACACCCGGAAAAGTTAAAAGGATGGTGGGTGGTGCCTCAAAAATCCATGATGATGATCCCTGCGTGTTTATCCAAGCAGGAATAATCCTTCCCTGAAAAATTTGTACCAAGCAGGACTAGAGGCCTTAAAAGTATTATTGTTATTCCCATTAAACATCAGGAAAAAGGGACACAGAGGGACTCATAAAACACAGGCATTGTTCCTCAGAGAAGCTTTTAAATCCCAGGGAATTGAGACCAGAATTCTCAGACCTACACAAGGGCTTTATTCCTAAACTCCCTTCCAGCAGTCACTCCCAAATTCCACACGCATGAAACCCATTTTCCAGCTGCTGGGAGACATGGACACAGGAAAAGCTCTCGAAGGGGTGGGGTGGCCAGCAGATCTTTCCCATTTTCCGGCTGCTGGGGAGATTCCTGACTTTATAGCACCTGCATTGTACACACTGTGTGTGTGGCTGGAAATGCACAGCGCATACAATGTGGATTCTGTACAAGTCGCTCACGGCACGGCGGGGCTGGGCTGGAGGGGAAGGACATCCATCCATGCATCCATGTATCCATGCATCCATCCATCCATCCATCCATGCATCCATGTATCCATGTATCCATGCATCCATGAATCCATGCATCCATCCATCCATCCATGCATCCATGAATCCATGCATCCATGTATCCATCCATCCATCCATCCATCCATGCATCCATGTATCCGTGCATCCATGTATCCATGTATCCATCCATCCATGCATCCATGTATCCATGTATCCATCCATCCATCCATCCATGCATCCATGTATCCGTGCATGCATGTATCCATCTGTCCATCCATCCCTCATCCATCCATCCATCATCCATCCATCCATCCATCCATCATCCATCATCCATCCATCCATCCATCCATCCATCCATCCATCCATCATCCATCATCCATCCATCCATTATCCATCATCTATCCATCCATCCATCCATCCATCATCCATCCATCCATCCATCCATCCATCCATCATCCATCCATCCATCCATCCATCCATCCATCCATCCATTATCCATCCATCCATCCATCCATCCATCCTTCCATCCATCCATGCACATGCTGGGATTTTTAGGGATACCTGTTTTCCCCTGGGTATTTTTTTATTGTTTAGGAGCTCAAAGTCCCATGTTACAGGATTTCTAAGAATGGGAATTGTATCTTCTGAAGCTCAGGACAGGCAAGAGAGGAACAAATTCCTGTCAAATATATCCAAATCTCCAAAAAAATCCATCCTTCAGACGCAGAGCTTTGCTGCAGTGGGAATATCCCGTATTTCATGGACATGGCAGTTCCTCAGTCGACATAAACCGAAAGAGCGCCAAAAAATCCAATCCATTTAAACCTTGGATGATTTTCCAGAGCCTGCCCTACTTTCCATGGATAGGTGGATGGCAGGGAGGAGCAAAGAGCTTCCCCGAGCCCTCACTTCCCTCGCTCCAAGTTCCCGGTGCGACAGGTCAAGGATTTTCTTCCCAGTGCTGGCAGCACAGGGAATTGTGGAGCGGGATGAATTCCTTACAAATGTGGCTTTGTAGGAGCGCTGGGCCTGAGTGAGGCTCTGTGTTTAATTATTTATGCTTTCTTATATTACCTCGGCATTCCCAGCTCCCAGCCTGGATAAGGGCCCCGTTGTCCCTGGGTTTGGGACACAGCCGTCCCTGCTCCACACCCCGTGGTCAGGAAAACCTTTAAGCACCCTAATGAGACTTAAGTGCATGCTGAAAGTTAAGCCTGGGCTTATCCCCGAGCCCCAGTGAGCTTAGACTGGGAACAGCCTCTTCACAGTCCCCGCTGATAAATGTTGCCTTTATTTATTTTTTAATAATTTTTTTTCCACCTGAAAGGGGTCATTCTTCCCAAATTTGTGGAAGCTACTGTGGATTGGATCCTGCTTTTTCAGGGAAGCCAGTAGGGGACTCGGTTTTACAAATAACTGGACCCAAAAAAAAATAAATACAAGGTTGCTTTTGGATATTGGGGGATTTTTTTTTCCACGTTTCATAGGGAAAAGATGATGGCCTGGGGTAACTGTGCTGAAATCAGGATGGTTCCTTTGGGAATGACATTTGGCTGGATATTTTGGAACATAATCCTGAATTTTAGCATTTCTCTGCTTTGTGCAGCAGCTCTCCCATATTTAACAGATCTTCCAATCCATCCAGGGATTTTCTGGGAGAAACTGCCGGAGCCTGACTCCTGCTCTGCCTTTCCATGATGGGAAGGAAGGAAGGAAATATCTTAGAGAAGGATTTCTGAAAAAAAAACATCGGAATCATGGAATATTTCAGTTGAAAGGGGTCTTGAGGATCATCCCATTCCACCTTTTACCATGGGCAGGGACACCCCCGCTGTCCCAAGGGGCTCCAAGCCCCAATGTCCAGCCTGGCCTTGGGCACTGCCAGGTATCCAGGGGCAGCCACAGCTGCTCTGGGAATTCCATCCCAGCCAGGAATTCCTAATTCCCAATCTCCCACCCATCCCTGCCCTCTGGCAGTGGGAGCCATTCCCTGTGTCCTGTCCCTCCATCCTTGTCCTCAGTCCCTCTCCAGCTCTCCTGGAGCCCCTCAGGTCCTGGAAGGGCTCTGAGCTCTCCCTGGAGCTTCTCCAGGAGAACATTCCCAGCTCTCCCAGCCCGGCTCCAGAGCAGAGTTCTCTGTTTCCCATGGGATGAACTGGCCAAAGCTGGTTTCAGTCTCTCAGGTTCCAGCACTCTCAGGCCTCGGAGATCATCGAGTCCAACCATTCCCAGCACTGCCAAGGCCACCCCTGACCATGTCCTCAAGTGCCACATCCACAGGGATTTAAATCCCTCAAGGGATGGGGACCCCCTGCTGCCCTGGGCAGTCCGAGTGTGTAACAGCTCCTTTTGGGAAAGCATTTTCCCAAAATCCACCCTGACCTCCCCTGGCCCAGCCTGAGGCCGTTCCCTCTCCTCCTGTCCCTGTTCCCCCGGCTGTCCCCTCCTGGCAGGAGCTGTGCAGAGCCACAGGGTCCCCCCTGATCCCCCTTTTCTCCCTGCTGAGCCCTTTCCCAACTCCCTGGAATTTTCCAGCCCCTTCCCAACTCCTTTTCCTTCCCTGGACACATTCCATCCCCTCAATGTCTTCATTGTGGGCACCCCAAACTGAACCAGTTCAGCTCTCGGATGTGAAAGCTCAGCTTTTCCAATTCTCAATTATGCCTGAAAAATGGAAAGCCACTCCTTCCACCTTCCCCTATCCCAGTCCACCTGGAATTTCGGTGCCGGAGCCTTCGGTCCCCACTGACCTTGTGTCACCTGTGTTCTTTTCCAGGACTCCCTGCTGTGTTTGTCACAGTGTGGGCCAGCGTCAGAGCCACTCTGGCCGACACAGAGTAAGTCCCACCGGGTTTCCTTCTCTCCCTCTTACGTGCAAAGTCTTGTGGGATTTAGGGGTGAATCTAAAAGGAAAAAGAACCAGGCAAAGCTGGAATTCTACTCTGGCATCATTAACTTTTGGAGGAGGGTGGTGGATGGAAGGGAAGGATAGTTTTTCCTTTCATTTTGCAGGATCCAATGAATGGGAATACCTGCCGTTGTTATCCCTGGGGATAAAGGGACTGTGTCACAGCTGGGCAGGGACGAGACAGGGATCCTTAAAATCCTGAATGAGCAGGAATGAATTTGGGACACAGCAGCTGCAGCACAGTCAGAGAGGGTTTGGTCATGGTGGAGAGGTAGAACTGCAACTCCTCCATGGATTTCACAATCCCAGGATGGTTTGGGTTGAAAGAGACTTTAAAGCTCATCCCATTCCACCCTCTGCCATGGTCAGGGACTCCTTCCACTGTCCCAGGTTGCTCCAAGCCCTGTCCAACCTGGCTGTTCCCCCAAAACTCGTAGGCTTGACCACACAAGCGCTTCCATGTTCCCAGGGTGCTCCATCTGAGGGTTCCCAGGCATTCCCAAACGGCTTCGCATGGGAAGCCGCTGCTTTCCAAAGGGGATTCCAGCTCCAGGCTTGGGCGGGTGGGTCAGCAGAGCTGCTGAAGGGTGACACATCCCTGACACCGGCTCATCCTCGCAGAGGTTCCAGGGAGCACCGGTGGCTTTCCAGCCTCTCTTTGCCTGAGGAGATGGCCTGGGAGAACTGCAGCTGCCACGTGGGGGTGATCAGGATCAGATAAGGAAAAACCTGTGGCCTTCCTTTCTCCAGAGCTGGAGGGAATTCCAGCAGGATAATTAACATTGAGTCAGCTTTTCCAATGGCTGCTGGAGACTCCTGGGAGCAAATAGAGCCTGTCCCTTCTTGGCAGGTGGAGGATTGGATCCAAACATCCCAACATTCCAACATCCACCTCACCAGCTGGCCCTCCCAGCTCCTCATCCTCACTGGGATGAGGACTGGGGGTGGATGGAGATAAAGGATTTGGGGGGATTTTGGCCACAAGGGCAGGGCTGAAGGAAACCCGGGAAGCAAGTGTGGAACCCCAGCATTGTCCCCATCACCACCTGTCCCCATGGGAAGCTGTGCAGGTTTATTCCGAGGGGGAATCATGGAATGGTTGGGTTGGAAAAGACCTTTAAACGTCATCTAATCCAACCCCCTGCGATGAGCTGGGACATAACCAGGATTGAAAAGGCCTACAGGGAAACTGAAGGGATTATCCATCAGGAACTGGAGGGACGGGACACAGGGAATGGCTTCCCACTGCCAGAGGGCAGGGATGGATGGGATAATGGGAAAAATTCTTCCCTGTGAGAGTGGGGAAGTCCTGGCACAGGTCACCCAGAGACGCTGTGGCTGCCTCATCCTTGGAAATGTCCAAGGCCAGGTTGGAGGAGGCTTGGAGCAACCTCTCTCCCATGACAGGGATTTGGAATTAAATCATCTTTAAGGTCCCTTCCAACCCAACCCATTCCAGGGTTCTGTGATCCCACATCCGTTCAGCCTCTCCTGTGTTCATAAAACCTGGATTCCTTTTAATGTAGGGATTTATTTGGTGAGGAAGCGAGGAAGTGGAAAAGGATCCGTTCCTGGCCAGAAGGGACAAGTCTGGATGGGTGTGGAAAGAGCTGGAAAGAGCTTCACCCTCTGGAGAGAAAAACCATCCCTTCCATAGGAATATTCTCATTTTTTAGTAGCTTTACACCAGGAAAAGGGATATTCCAAAGTCTCACTGGGTGCAGGCAGGGTTAGAGCAAGGTCCTTCCACCAGGCTTTGGAGGAATTCATCCTTCCAGGGGGATTTTTCCAATGGAACTTGATTGCTTTTCCAAAGATTTCCTGACAGGATGTCCATCTCTCCTCAGGTGTTGGGACTTGAGTGCTGGCAATTTAAAGTGGATTATTCAGGTGCCCATCCTGGCAGCTATCGTGGTGAGTATGGGATGAGTGAGGGGCTGGGAGAACTTTGGGTCCTTGGGAAGAGCTGATCCAGGATTTCCTGCTCTAATCACCCTGCTATCAAAACTCCTGCCTTGTCATAGTCCCTACATCTCCACTTTGAGGGGTTCTGCCTGGAATTTTGGCAGCTGAATATGGCAGAAGGGTTTGTGAGTGACCTCAAGGAGAGAAAAATCCCACATTTTCAGGGTTGAGACCCTAAAATCACCAATGAAAACAACATCCAAGGCAATATTTCCAACCCAGATGATCTTGGAAACTCTTGGGGCCATGACACACTTTTACCAGGCATCTCCAGATGGAAGAGATGGAATTTGGTGTCTGTAGCTGGACCAAGGCTTTTCCCAGGTGTGTTTCAGGGTCATCCCGTTATTCCTGAACTGGTAAAAGCTTGGGAAGCCTGAGGTGGGAAGGGAAATTAAACCATCCCAGCTTTGATTGGGTCTTTAATCACTGAGGGTGGATTATTCCAACCCCCCACCCAAGAGCCAGAGGGGAAACGGAGGACCCAAGTGATATTATCCCGACACAGGAGGAGCTCTCCAAAGCTGGAGAGGGCGTTATAAGAGTTCATTATCTGCACATGGTGAATTCAACTACGTCCTTATTAATGAATTAATTAATTACCCTCTTCCCCCCCCCCTCTTCATTTGGGGTTCTCCATTGCTCAGTCTCCTGATGGAATCCATGTAAAAGAGCTCATGCACTCCCCTCAATCCCATCTCCCTTTCCACTCATCCACGAGTGGAACCGGTAGGAATCTCCACAGTCAAGAAGCTTTGGAATCAGGCTCTTCCTCCTGCCTCCCAAATCAGGAGGCCTTGGAAGATGCTCAGTGTGGGTGAGAAGAACACCAGACACGCAGAGAGCAGGAAATTTTCTGAGGTGGATGTGCTCATCTGTGCCATTAGGTGAGATTTTTGGGGTTTGGGGACGGGGCTGGGTTTCATGCTTTTGGTGGAAATTTCTCCACCTGGCTCCAGCAATTCCTTGGAAGAAAAGCATCACCGAGACCACATCTTTGGAAATGGAACAGCAGAGGCTGGAGAAGAAATTTCAGATGGTTCAATTAAATTAATTCCAGCTACCCAGCGCATTTAATTTACAGGCCAATTAGCAGAAGACAAAGAGCCCAATTGAGGCTCATCCTTGGAAAAACAAGGTTTCTCCAGGAAGCTGTGCCCTGGCAATTTGCAAATGCAGCTGTTTATTATGCAAAAATATTCCGTTGGTTGTATCTGTTTAATTTCTGTGGTTTCGTATTGTTCATTTGGCTGCTTCTGCCATTCCCACGATGCTGGACTAAGTCCTGCATTTTCTGGATGGGATTTTGGAGGCTGAGGGGTTTAAAATCTCTCCACTTTCTGCTAATTTGGATGTGATTTGTTTGTCTGGTTTTCTTTTCAAATTTAGCACATTTAGGGAGCTCAGAGGAGTTTCCCTCCTGGATGTGATAAGGCAGGGCGTCTTTAATTTTGCCGACAAATGCAAAACAAGATCCCGCTTCGGAGCCTTTAAAGCTGGAAAAGCTCTTATAGAGACATAAATCCTGCTTGGTTTTTCCCTTTCAGATGGTTTCCAAGGAATTAAATGCCCCCAAGCTCTGTCCTTCCCAGCCTGTCGCTCTATCCATTCCTCTCTCATAATTCCTGTGTCAGTCAGAAAATTTCAGTCAAATGGAACTGAGGGAATGGCATTGCAGGGGTGCAAAATTCTCACCAACCTTGTGAGAACAAGGAAATGGATATGGGAGAGAATTTTCATGCATATCCCAGTGACAGAAAGGATGTGGCACAACCTTCCCTGCTTTTTTTTTTTTTTATGGAAAAGAGTTCCAAACAAGCTTGCACATCCTCAAAGGAGGAGGAATCCAACCACAGCAGACAAAGACATGGCAAACCAGCCCCTGCTGGCTCAGCAGCTCAGGGAATTCCTGGTTTTCCCAGGGAGGATAAATGTCCATGGGAACGACTCTTCAATGGTTGCAGTGGAGAAATCTGTCCCATGGAAATGCTAGAACATGGATCTGCTCTGGCTCCAACCAAAATGAATCCAAGGAGGTCTCCTGCACCATCCAGCTTGAGGTTCACAGTGCTCCCTCCCTAAAACTCCGAGCCGCTGTGTGGTGTGGTAATTCCACGTCTTGAAATGCTGAGGGCTCCAGAGGAATCCGAAGGCGTTATCCAACAACGCGGATCTGCTCCGTGCAGTTACAGGACAGTCCTGCCTGTACCCTCTCCACAATCCCACGGATGGCTTTGGCTGGGCCAGAAGCTGGTGGAATCCAGGGAAGCCAAGCTCTGAAGAGCTCTCCAAAGACGGGAATCTCCCCGGTGCCAACCCACCTTTCCTCTCCAGGAGGCGTTGCCGTTAAATTTTCCTCAGCGTGTTCCTGTAGGAGCCATGAAGGTTGGGAATGTTCTCCCAGATCAAGTCCAACCATTCCCTCAGCTCCACCATGGCCACCACTAACCCTGGTCCCCAAATGCCACATCCACATGGGATTCCACCACTTCCCGGGATGGGGATTCCACCACTTCCCGGGATGGGGATTCCACCACTTTCTCGGATGGGGATTCCACCACTTCCCGGGATGGAGATTCCACCACTTCCCGGGATAGGGATTCCACCACTTCCCGGGATGGAGATTCCACCACTTCCTGAGATGGAGATTCCACCACTTCCCAGGATGGAGATTCCACCACTTCCCGGGATGGGGATTCCACCACTTCCCAGGATGGGGATTCCACCACTTTCTTGGATGGGGATTCCACCACTTCCCGGGATGG